TGGCCTCCCTTTATGCAATGGCCTCCCGGAGGCCATGCCTTGGCGGGATGCCAAGTCACGTGATCAGCGCCCCGCGATGATCATTACCTTCTGACGTGGACGTCCATAGGCCTTCAGCCATCTCGTCATTTGTCAAGGAGAGAATCCTTCTTGTTACCTGTAACACTTCTTCGGTTAGTGTTGCTCAAATGTCTCAAGCAACTGAAATTTTTGCCTCTCATTTTGTATGAATCAATGATGTGATATTCCATTTGCGGATATCTTTCGTTCTTTAGGAAAGGAATTTGGATTGCAGAATATTTATATATATATATATATATACATGAGTAGTAGATGAATACACACAAGTTCTATGTTTGTAAATAGAAGATACTTATTTTGTAATCATTGCAAATATTAGATGACAATGCGTTTATTCAGTGCAGTGTGATATATCACAGTAGACATGTCCCAAGTTTTTCATAGACATGTTCCTCGAATGGGTAACCTCCTGTGAGCGCACGTGACTTTGAGCATCTAGATCACCGATCTCGTGTCGTGTTAAGATGAGAGATGATCCTAGCACAACCGTGCCGCTACGAGAATCCAATTTCTCTTACTGCGCTGTTTTCGCCCGAGATTGAGCACTTTTTCTATACGGGTTGTGAGTGTGTATAGCACGTGGTCTCGTGTCTGAGGGAAAAGGAGATGCGCGCACCACTTGGAAGTCGCGCTAGTGAAACAGGGGTTCCCGTTGCAATTAGGCGACTTGTCACGTCACCATCGTGTTCACTCTCTTTAGGGCTGCTTCCATCCACCCAAAAAACCATCTCATGTATCCAAAGCCTCAACCCAGCGAATTAGATGCATCGTCACGATTAACTCCAATCTAATAGCTATTGCGCAACCAAGGCTTGCTGCGAACAAAGATACGGATGTATCCAAGTAGTTACTGCAGTATGGTGATATCTGTGACTAACCATCTGACACTGCAGTCATCGTACTGACACGATACGACGTATATGCTGAGAGAGGTATTGGCAATGCGTGGCCAAGAATCGACCACGTGACACAGTAACGGACCGCTGAGGCTGGGCTTTCGAGGCCTACCAAGAACACCTTTAGAACCTCGGCTTAACCACGCCAACAACGCGAAGCTGGTGGTAAACAGGCTGGATCCGGCTCGATACCGGCTCGGTTCTCACAATAGTACAAGATATAGCATCTCTAGGTTACTGGGGGCGCATTTTGATCACATCTGTACCAAGCTTATCTACCATTGTCTTCCGCTTCTAGTCACCCGCAATTGAGATTAAACCAGTTATGCGCATCCGAAGAAGCAACCTAGTTTTGGCGTCGGTGGATAAATTCTCATCCACTGTCCTGTTAGGCCATGCCTGCGAGAAAGAGAACGAGAGATCACACTTGTAGGATTTTGCCGTCGGCACTTCCCTTCGTAAGCACAACCCTCTTTTCAGGTTGAGCATCTTTCTCAACACTCTCATTCTATTGGATGGGCCTGTTTGTAGCAACCAATAGAGGCGGATGGGTAACATCATGTTGGTACAGCAACGAGTCGTTGAGTAGCGATTAAAGGTTCAGGGAAAATATGACTAGCGGTCTATGAATAAGGTATCTTCATAGTTTCTGTTATAATTCTAACATTGCTGTATCATTATGGTATTCATGGCATGTTCGGGTTTGGTGGTCCCTTCGCCAATTTGAAGTATCCCGGACTCAAGTTCTGGAACACCTGCGCCGGATCGTATTTCTTGCTGACAGCGATGAGCTTGGCGACATTGTCAGTTCCATAGCTAGCGATCGGGTCCATGAACTCGGATGCATAATTAATGTAGATGTAGTCGTTGTCTACGCCTTTCCTCTGTGCCTCAGCCTTGACCTTTTTGATAATGCCTGAATAGCATTTCAGGACGGCGGCTTCACCTGTAGGGTCTGCAAAAGATGCGCTTAGGTTCATGATAAAGATTGGTCCATTGGCGGAACTGAGACCGAGTGCGTTTCCGCCATTCTTCTGCATGCCCTTTAATTGACCTTCAGTAATTTATTGGATTGAGATGGTGGGGAAAACACCCTTGATGTTCTGAATGGCGGTTATTTCCGAGTAAAAGGTATCAACCAGGAAGGTAAAAAGGTCTCGATCAACCTTGAAGGTAACATCCCAATTTGTTTGCAGGGAGCCGAGTGTGTCATTGGGTGAGCCTCCGTTCAGTTTGATTGTCATTTCGCTATGAGAAGCGATACCTGTGTTATCCGATATGGGTGTGAGTGCGTTGATATCAGCAAAGACTGAGGCGTTGGCCACTGGCTGGGCGTAGTGAGTCTGCACGATGGCGATCTTGCCAACGCTAGGGATACTGCCAAAAGAAATGATTTCAGCGGCACCAGTGTCCTTCGAAGATCCCACAGTAGCGAAATTGAAAACAGCATCCAGAACACCCTTGAAATTGTTTTCTGTAAAGATGCGCTGGCCACCCCACATATTGCCTTGGGGGAAAGCGTGTAGCTTGAAGTTGGTCACGACACCAAAGTTGCTACCACCGCCACCACGGAGAGCCCAGTATAAGTCAGGAAACTCGGTGGGACTGGCAGTGACAACTAGGCCAGACGCCGTGACGACTTCATAGCTTGCAACGTTGTCACAAGCCCAACCTAACTTATTGGAAAAGAATGAGATTCCACCGCCAAGTATGAGACCTGGCACCCCCACTGGAGCCATCTAAATCCTTGTTATCGGGGAGCTGTTTCAGTTCTCAAAAGGCGACTTACCCTGCCTCCAACGACGCTGACACCGGACTTTTCGATCGTTGTATATACATCAACCCATCGAGTTCCGGCACCGACATTGGCATATTGCTTGTCGTTTGAGACAGTAACGTTATTGAAGCGCTCCATGGAAACGGTAATACCTCCGTCGATGCTGGATGCCCCAGCAAAAGCAGCATGGCCGCCGCTTTTCACAGCAAATGGGCATTGTGTCAACCGAGATATTAGCAGCCACGAAGATACTTCGATCGTGCTGGATGGCTTGAAGACACATCGCGGGTTTACAGCACCCTGCTGGATACTCCAGTAGGCACCAGTGAATGCATCGTACGTAGACGAATTGTCCAAAAGCAGTTTGTCGCTGCCATAGATGCGCTCCAAGAATGAGCACTTCGAAATGGTCAGCAAAGTCAACAAGTAAAAAACGAGTTCGAGGTTCAAAACGTACGGCAGCAGAGCACCCACTGAATGATCGTCCTGAGAACTTGGCAAGCTCAGGGATGGCAGACACATCGACGCCATTGGCGATCAGCGCCTTGGTGATGTTAAAGTTCGCAGGCTCAAAAACATATGTCGCCTGTGCCGAAGCAAATGCGACAAGGGTACTAATTTGCCAAAGGACCTTCATTTTGGAATCGGTGGAAAGTCGGAATGAAGGCGGACGAATTCCCAGATACCCAGCCCCATGCTGAACAGTACAAGCTTAATTTATTCTGGCTGTTAAGACTAGGAATTGATCCGCGGCAGACAATTGGCGCCTGCCAGCATAGTCCATTTCGATCGGGTGAACAGATATGCTTTTAGAGTTTAGGGGGGTAATGACTAGGGTTGTTGGTGGCGAATCTTGTTGCTATTCGATGGAGATTTGAACTAAAAGTCGCACCTGCGTTAGTGCGTGCTACATTGCGAATCCTTCATAGGATCAACGTTATTGCAACAACAAAATGTCGTGCAATGCTTTTGCATATCGGCTTTCTAGCTGATCTGGGTGCAGAAAAGAAGGAGGCGGCTGGCCGAACTTTTTCGTCTCACATCACAGTGAAGAAATGGGAGTAGAACGAAGCGGATTGTGAACAGACCGTGGTATCGTCAAGTGTCAGAAAATCCGGGGTGCCAAGAGCTGTCTAATGCGGCAATCTCCTGTTGTGAAGGTTGTCAACATTTCTTTTCAGGCCAACATCTGGGCATGCATCTTGGCGTAATCCGCTTAGAGCCGTACAATATACATGTTTGGATGCTACCCAATCATATGTCTTACTGTAATCCGGCGACGTGGTCAACGAGCATATGGCTGCCCCATCAAGCGTGTGCTCCGACAACTCATCTTTTATTGCAAGCAATCGCCTGTTATATTCAACACGACCCCGAGCCGACAACGGACCAGCGAATTTCTGTCCTTGAAGACCTTGTGCATAAGGTTCTTTCAATGTCTTTGTATTGGACTCCGAAGGCATTCGAATCTACCTGAGCTTATTGCGAAATCAAGTCGGTACCGGGTTTGCGATGGTTGCATTGACTATGTCAATGCCCTTCTTGAATAGGTCCAGGAATGGTACAATGTGCAAAGCGATGCATAGTGAATAAAAGTGGCACAGCCTAGCGGTAAGCACCTGTCATGTATTGAGTATTACGACCGCCGCAGCAATCTCATTCTGAGGGGGAAATTCTGCTCACATACACGCCTTCGACTTGGAGAGTCTTTTCGGGTCATTCTGTTTTGCTTTTACGTTTTTAGGCTGGTTCAGGTCAGACTGTTACTAACAGCAATGCTGGTTGGCGTTGCGGCTAGACTTATCTAGATGTGCTTTACAAAACATAACCCTGTTGTTCCTAAAGAGGTAGAAATATAGTGCAAATCAGCACTAAACAGAGCTTGTTTTAGTATACAGGCGCTAACAAAACGGAGCCTTGTTCTATACCCCAAAATGCCCGTTTCACCGAATACAACAGCGGTTTACGTCCTGTTTTCAAAACGGAGCTGAACGGAACAGAACCAAAGTCTCCTTGGGGACTGCTTCCGGCCCCCTAGATCCTACGCTTCGCATACTTATGGGCAATTCATGGAGTGCGCGGAAGGTACCGCACTCGACTTCTGGGAAGAACGTGGTGCTATGTATTACGCAGCTTGCTCGGCTTTTCAAAGATACTTCATCCTTGAGAATCTGGGCTGCAACTGAAGTATATACGCACGCAAGGCAAAGCGTTCAGATACGCAGCCAGTCATCCCCACAAACATCACCAGCCGTTCGAGACTTGCCGATGCTAGATATGAGGGCCTGAACCGCCAACTCCGATGTCGTATCTCATGTCAACACCTCCAAAGAGACTCATAGCCAAGGATGAGCTGGCGCGTACAAGCGTAGCCATGCTCATCCTGACCTCGTTATTCATTCTGTCGCGAGTAGTCCTCCAGATCGCTAAACGCAGAGTTTTCGGGTTGCCCGACCTTTTCACCTATTTCGCTTTTTCTCTGTACGTCTCCATGTGGGCATGCTACGTCGCCGTCATTCCCGCCATGTTCAGAGTTTTCGGTGTATTTGATGGTACCACCCGACCGTATGCCGCAGCAATGAATGACGCTAGGATGCTGCTTCGGCATTTTACAGCTGCCCAGATGCTATTCTATACTCTTCTATTTACTGTCAAAATGTCTTTGTTGACACTATACCGAAAGATTTTGGTAGGGTTACCTGTCATATACCACAGAATATGGTGGGGTACTGTAGCTTTTTGCGTTCTGGTCAGTATCTGCTCTAGCACCTGGTAGCTATCAGTATAAGCGCTGACCTGATCACAGTCCTGGACCGGCAGTATTTTCGCGAGCATTTTCACGTGTAATGACCTCAACGAAAAGTTCTCAAAAGGGATATGCACTGGCACGCCAGATGAGCAGCAGAGAATCATCTTCAGCCTTTATTTTGCATACTCGGTAGATGTGGCTACTGACCTTGCAAGTAAGTCGAGAAAACTCAATGGATCTTTGCAAGGCAGTGCTGACAGCGTCAGTTATGTTCCTTCCTCTGTTTCTCACATGGAAGTTGCAGATGCCTAGGAAGCGAAAGATTGGAATCTTCATACTATTTGGCAGTGGCTTTGTCTGCATAGCTTTCTCTACAATCCGTGTCATACAACTGGGCGTTGATCGTCGCGGTAAAGCAACAATGCCAGAGCTTGATTGGTTATTGCTGTGGGACGTGGTAGAATGCGCAATGGGTACGTTGATCATGAAAACTTTTGCAGACTACCATGCGTGTCGCTAACACAAAGTCTAGCTGTCATCATTGGATGCTCTCCCGCCTTTACAGGCCTGATTCGTAAAAAAATCGTCACCATACCGGGACCAGCATACGATAGACAAGGCTACATCAAACAAGAATTTGATAAGGTGGAGATGGAGATCATGGCCGGCTCTGCGAGTCAACAAGGACATGTAGTTCGGGACCCATACGAAGAGTATTTTAACAACAGTCAGGAAGAGCTCACAAGAACTACTGACAACAGCCAAGAAGAGCTTACAGTAATCACTGAACACACCATGGTTGTGCGGGCTGTTAGCTGAGTCGAGCAGATATGTAATCATATGTGATCATGAATTGAAACGTAGCAAAAGTAGGCCTCCATAATGTGTCAGATTAACAAGCAAAGAATATCGGTCGGCGGTAAAAGGAAACATGTCCATGTAAATCAATGTCCTCTCAACTTGATATCAATAATCCCTGAATATATGTCAACGCTATCACGTTATACAAATGGCGTCATTCCGTTTAACAACAGTCACACGAAGAAACACAAACCTCAATCTTGGCATATTCATACGAGTCTCGCATTAACCCGACATTCCGGTCATACAGATAGAACAATAAGCCCTCCTACAAACATAAACAAAACCCGAAACTTCTGCCCTGGATATACCTCGACCATAGCTATAACTCCAAGTTCAACACAGCAAACCCCATAACCATGCTATGTATCACCCGAACAAAGTGTTAACATCACATCGTTACTCTAATCAGACATCACCAGGCAAAAGAGAAGTATATAAGATCGAACAGCATCTTCAATTGTCCCCCGAAATAAACGCTAATGGGGCAGCCATCTAGGCTCGGTAGGTCAATCACCAGTTTCTCCGAAACGCCTCTACTTTGTTTCGTCCCGTATCAATTTTGACTGATCTTTGTATAGTAATAAACATATGTGCAAATTTCCCTCGGGATCCTCATGCTATCGCATTGAAGCGGTTACGCGCCAGGAGTGCGACGGCACAGAGGGCGGCCACGCTCAAGGGTGTTGGGGTCGCAGGTGAGCCGGCTGTCCTCGATGCAAGTCAATTGTGCGCCGCCTGTTCGCACTGGTTAGCTTTCTTTTGCCCGACTATTTGTCTGTGATTTTTTTTTGACTTACAGTTGTTAATGTTGTCAGGCACACAGCGACCAGTTTGGCCATTGACGTTGCAAACATCCTGCTTCAAGCTCGTGTTTGCGACACAGCACGCGCCGTTGGGGACGGGACGGTTGGCGTTTGGGCCCTGAGGCATAGCGGCTGCGAGAGCAGAGAGAGCGAGGACAATAGCGGAGGTGGTGAACTTCATTTTGAAATAGTTGTTATGAAGTGTTTGATTTGCAAGAGTGAATAATGTTTATGATAAAGTTGGATTAAGGAGGTTAAAAGACCGACCAGCGGAAAAAAGGCGAAGAATTGAATAAGGGAGGAAGAAAAGTAGAAGAGTAGACAAGAAAGACTGAGGCTGAAGATGCTGATGAGGCTCATTCTCAGGGCCGCCCCAAGGCACCCTTCTTATACTCTGCAAACCTGAAGGAACAGGCGTGCGCGCCTTGGCAAAGGAAATTCCTCCATGATGGCATTGCCCTTCGCGCGGCCGCAACACCCGTTCACCGCTGGGCTCCCTGATACCGAATAGCCGACCAACTACTACCAAAAAACACAATGAGACCATCGAGACAAACACAAAACAACAATACCGGCTTCAAAGGCCTGGGAGTTACGGCGGAGTAACCGCATCGGGCGTCGCAAACCCGGCGCAGCAGAGAATGTCGTTCATGCTGCTCAGGCGCGCGGGCGCGAAAGGGCAGTGCACGATACGCAGATCATACAGTGATGCCAGCAGATGGCTTCCTTCGAGGGCTTCGAGACGTGGGACGAGGGCAGAGAGGCACCAATATATGAAACCGTTATGCTGTTTAGGTGGCGGGTTTGAAACGTTAGTCTCCGCTGCAACATCCACATTGGCAGGTGACGGGGGGTGTGTTACCCACTCGTGTATGCGGAAAACACGGACTTGGGAGATGTGTGGTTTAGGATTATTCTTGTACATGGGCGCGTGGAAGAGAGCTATTCTGGCTGTAATATGCCTATGTTGAATTACTTATGCGTGTTGTCTATCTTTTCTCATACCAGCACTCCTAAATATCCAGGCATTCAGCTATACATTGAATTGGCATATCAGAGAAGATAGAAGTCCCCTTGCGCTCCAGCCTCCACCTGAAAAGTATCAATAACAAGATACCGATCCAATCCCTCCCGCGTCAAAAGCGACGCATTCCTCATCTTCCCCAGCACCCCCTTTCTCCTCAGCACCTCCGGAACAAGACTCTCATGCACACGCCACTTTACCGGCTTCAAATACTCACCAAACCACCTCCCAAAATCCCCAATAACATCCGCAACAGCATTATCAAACCGCCCACCACACTCCATCCCCAAAACCCTCTCACACATCTTCCACGCCGCACGGAACAAACCCCTTTTATTCCTCGTCATACCCTGTACATACCACTGACTCTGAACCAACAGCCCCAGCCCAAAAAGCAGCACATTAACATCCAGGCCCCGCTGCCCCCTTACCTTGCACGAAAAGACACAATGCAACCCATTAACCAAGTAAACAAACGCCCGCAACTGCTCCCTCACCCCCGTCCCCTCAACCAACGCCACACTATCCCGCCCCATATGCCGTGCAATCGCCAAATCCGGGTCTGAAAACTCTACACTCCGCCGACTGCACAGGTCATGCAGCATGGCGTTCGTAGCACCAGCACATAAGACGAGTAGCCCGAAGCACGAATCATGTGCTGTGGCATCCGTGATCCAGCCGTTCCAGGCGGTTTTATCGTTATGTGATATGTTAAATGACATTGCGTGGGCTTGTTCGTAGAGCATTGGGATGCAGCTGGCGAAGCCCTGCTGAGATATGCGGTCAGCAAGCGCTATGATGTCGAGGATGTGCAGGAGGACTTCGGAGAATGTGGAGTCGGTGGTGAGATTGCGGGGAGCGCGGATTGAAGATTCGATAGCATGGGCTTGGTGGGGGTCTGGGGGGTTGACGATTGAGAGGTCGTTTAGGGGGCTGTGGAGGAGTCGGAAGTGGGAGAGGGAAGTGTGGAGGAGGGAGGGGGGGTAGGCTGGGTTCAGGTTGATGCAGATGGTTAGGCCGTGTTGGCCGGTGGTTACTTTGTATGACTTGTCGGTTATACGGTTTCGATATAGTGAACCTGGCATCCTTCGCAGTGAGTGTGCGAGTTCGACTATTCGAAGAGCCCAGACGAAGCTGTTGAGTTGGCTGGCTGGGATGAGTATGATCTGTCGCTCGGGCATGCCCTTGGGCCAAAGACGTCTGTAGGACGGGGCGCATATTGAGGTCTTAGTAAAGAGTTTGATGCGGATGTGCATCATGCCAGGTGGCAGATGCTGAACTGAATTCAAATCTACGGTGATCATCTCCAGGAATGCAGAAGCCCATTGGATTAACAGGTATGCGCAGTCCATATCTACGATTACCCATCTATTTGAACGGTCAAGTACAGTTCGGCCGATAGTATACAAATTCTTGTTGACGCGAAGCACTTGTGTCTGGAGCGCTGGCTTGAACCCGTATTTGAGTGGCCATCTTGATCTAGGTAATTTAGTTATCATACCACCCGTGTTGCGGAGAGCCAGTAGCTCCTCCATAATCTGGTAGCATATCTCTTTCGGTAAGGTATCTAGACGTCTTTTTTCAAAGTTCATGTTGAAAGCGGGACTGCTGTAGATAGTGTTAGAGGAAGACAAGATGTCCGGACTAGAAAGCTATAGTGACGTTGCAACTAGCTGAGGGGGGACATTGTCCTAAATTAAAGAATCGATAGACTGGGAGCGCATCTTTGAGTCAATGAACACGCACCGTACGTGGCATGGGTGTGAAACGCAAGATATTGTGAACACTTATGGTTTGAATGAACGACAAAGCCCATGGAAACCGAAAGGGACAGCCGTCTTTCACACCCGGACCCTGTTTGTCGGAACCACGGTAATGTCCTGAGGATGAAAAACCGTTGATTATTGAAGCAACAGGTCACCGACACGACTTATTCTGATAAAGGAGAAATGAAGGAGCACAGCGCGACGCAGCGGCGTATCAGTGGTAGAGTCACGGGGATACAACAACAGGTCAAAGTGCATAAGCAGCACAACATCCCCAGCAAATAAAATGCAAAAAGAAAGTCTAACATCTAATTCACAACCTTCCTTTTGATCACATCGCCAAACAATCCAACCCCTCTACTGCCCAAACTGCCCCGCCCCCAACGTCCCCTTCAAATCCATCTTCAGCAACCCCTCCCTCTCAATCTCCTCCTTCCTCTTGACCAACTCCTCAACATCCCAATTCGCACTCACAAACCTTCCTTCAAGAAACTTCCTATCCACTCCCTGCCACCCCGCCAGCCAAACCCCGACACCGCCCACAAGCTCCGGTGTATCCAGCGCAAACCGCTTAAACGAGTCAATCGTCATCTCGGTATCCACGATACCCGGATGCATAGCTACAGCAAACACATTCGGGTTCTCGGCTGCAACGTACGTCATGAGTTGCAGGACCGTGAGTTTGGAGATGCCGTAGGCGCTGAGGGAGGGGAAGACTTCGTATGCGGCGCCGGTGGTTAGGGTGATTATTTTTGCGGGGGTGTCGGTGGAGGGGAGGTGTTTGAGGAAATATTGGGTCATTAGGAAAGTGCCGCGGGTGTTCAGGGTCTGTTCAAGGAAAATGGTTAGAAAAACGTGAATGAGATATGATTGGGGGAGAGACATACGACTTCGTCCCACCAGGCCGTTTGATCGACGTCTTTAATGGGCCCAATGGCTTTGAAGAGACCGGCATTGTTAACGAGGACGTCGGCATGACCGTATTTTTCTTTGACCTCTTCGTAGAGTGCTGCAACGGATTTGGGGTCTGCGATGTCGGTAGAGACGGACAGGGTTTCAACGTTGGGATAAGATGTTGCGATTGATTTTGCGACTTCTTCGAGCTTGTCTGCACGTCGAGCCACGAGGACGATGGCTTTGGCGCCTGCGGCAGCGAATGATGGTACAAAGGACTGACCGGTTAGTTACAAGCATAGAATGGGAGTGTAAGTCAGGCTGCACATACTCGAGCTCCTAGTCCTTGGCTAGCGCCAGTGATGATAATCACTTTGCCCTGTTGAGAAAGCGAGCTTTGCTTAGGATCGATCGCTGGATAGACATCCCGATGTACGACCGGAACAAACTGCTGGGACTTTACAAAGTGATCTACAGGAAGGTTCTCCATTGTTGCTGTCGTGGTGTTTGTTGTTGAATCAAAGATAAAGTGGTCAAGCAGAGAGGCGGTGGGAACTGAGAATAGATGTTGTTGGATAATCACGATGCCATCACATCATGACCTCTTATATGTACTTTGCTCCTCCCTCAATGTTGTACATTATTAATGCTGTTACTGTAGTCTCCGTTGGTGCAAACATTGGTAATCGTTACTGAGCTAATCCGCCGCAGTGTAAAGGGCGATTAAGTATACAGTCGGTCCTAAAGGGCAAACATCGCGACGAAAGCTTTGAAATACAACTGGTAAGTAGGGTTCAGTAGTCCATTTCAGAACAATGCGGCTGGAGACGCGGTTACCAATCGGTGCAAGGTGCGGCTGCAACTACAGGGATGCCCTCGTTCCTAATCTAGTACTAGTGCTCTTCCTCCACATCAGCCGCAAAAGCTTCTAAAATGCCCATCGGAACGCTATCGGGTCGCGCATTGTTTGACCGATGGTGATTTACAATCTGCATGACTTCTTCTCGAATTAGGTCATCGGTCCCTGCAAATATTTTCTCTACCCACAAAACCTCTTTGACAATGTTCATCAGCCCGTCCCACTCTTGCAACTGCATGCCACTCATCAAGATGCCGAGCATCAAAACGAATTGGCTTCTCTCGGCTAAATCTTTCGTCTCAATGGCGGCGAAGTAAATGGCCCAGATGAGTAAAGGCTTGAGTTCGTTCCATTCGATCATGTTTTCCAAGAGAACAAGTAATAAATTACGGGATATAGCGGAGGTTCTGACCGGTGATTGGCCAAGTGCTCTCCAGAACGGCGATAGGAAAAGTAGCGTTCCGAGCCGACAGACTTCTTCCATGACGTGTTCTCGGCTGTTGCCTTTATGCAGGGGCCGGATAGACAGTAGACGGTAGACGGTCGGCTCCATCCAGCTGCCACTTGTGATTGCAAGCATAAACTGTTTCTCATTGAACATGCGATCAAGCGAGATCAACTGGACTATATCGTCGAATATTGTGATCCAGTCTAGTTGCATGGGTAGCTGGTACTTCCATGACAAAGAGATGGCATTGGCAGGCCGTGGTGAGTTTGGCGGCGATTTGGAATCCATAAGCCATTGTGATGGCATAGGAACAATGGGACTACGATCTTGAAAGAAGCTTCCTATAAGGTCTCCCCTGGTCATGGCTTTAGCATGTTGCTGCTAAGTTGAGTTTTGCTCCGGAGGCTTACCAGCTTACTGTAACCCGCAAGAAGTCTGTTGTGATGGAATCATAACCCCCTCTAAGCTGCACTATTCTTGCTAATGCATCAGCATGCTTTTGCCAGACATCACCCGCAAAGTTTCCTAGCAAAGCCTGATCACAGTCAGTTGGGTGCCAGGATCATTCTGCACAGGCTGCTTACCTGATGGATCATGAAGGAAACCATGGAACCTATAAGCTCATCGCTCTGATGCATCTTCGGGTCCTTCATCATCTCAGTGGTGTGGCGCAGAGCCTTGTGATGAATTTTTAGCGCAACAGCATCGTCTTGAGAAGGAAAATATCCATGGCGCTTTTCATTCAAGAAGTTTTGAGAGTTGGCAAGCATGTTCCAAAAAGCAGGGATGTAGCTGAGTCCAACGGGATACCAAGAACCTCGTAGAACAGTAGGGTGGTTGTTATCCTCGGTGGTAAGAACTACTCACTATCAGAAAGGAGACACCATAGCTTCGGAACACACCTACCGTTAGCCAGCAGAGCGCGTTCAGAGTCATCAAGTTCGACAGGATAAGGGCCAAAGGGATCGAGCTGGCCGCCACCGAAGCGATCGACATGCATGCGGCTCTGCTCAGATGGTTTGCGGAACTCGAGGACGATCTCATGACGTGCACGTTTCGTCTTTGGCTTTCTCCTCGCCTTGCCCACCTCAGTCATGGCCAGGCGACGGATTCGAAGTTGCGTTTCCTCATTTTTGAGGTCATCAGGGTGTTGAAGATTCACAAAGTTGAAGCTTGGCTTGGTAGAGCGATCCATGACGCTGGACAGAGCTTGCTGTGTATGTTTCGTCATCGCCCGCAACAGCGCTCTGTTCTTATCTTTATATGTATTCTGGGCACACCTCAGCGGGCGCCAGAAGGGGAATTATGTCATTGCAGTTTGAAATCGAGGGCTGTGGAAAAGACGATTCCTATGTGGAATGGCAGCCGAGTTTGGGGGCGGCGGAATACCGACAGCGTGGAGCTGCGGCCAACTTGGCAAGGCACGCCATTTGACAGATAGGTGCAAGCGAACAGGCCCTGTGAATACAAGCAAGACTGTGGCAACGGACGAGTATCACACAGATGTCAGTTTCGGACAGATGGATGGAAGTCACAGTTCGGAGAGATAGTTGATGCGCATCCGATGAGGATGTGCTAATTAGTAATGTAGTTTGTTGGCCAAAGTGAATGAGTAATCACCATTGGATTTGGGAAGGAGTACAAATGCCCAATCACTTGATGCAGAGCCTATAGTAAAGGGCCTACAAAGGTGAGACCAGATACAGATGGCTTACTATATACAAGATCGTGCGGAGTTGCCGTCTTATGTACATACTGCTGTATGCACACTGCGATGGTGAGCGGTGCTGATGGGCCAGGACGAATGCCGGAGCCGCCGAAGCCTTCTCTCAGCTCGGCATTATTGTAAGGGTTCTGGTTGATATGGTCAGCTGTCTTTGATATTTAAGGAAAATGCACAGAAACCCATCCAGATGCTTCGATCGACGACTACTAGTACAGCGCAATAGGCAAAGATAGGCGAAGCTGGCGGTCCCCTGGCCCCGGGCCTCTAGCGCTCACCGAAGCTGTTTTGGGTTAGGGTGCCAAGCGACATCTCCATAACATGGCAAATTTGTCGCCAGTCCTTTCTCTTCTCTTCAACGCACCATCAGACAGTTCAGCCACCCATCTCACCAGCATCTTTACGTCTTGTAATCGATGCGACCCGAGTCAATCAATTGGGCGGCTGCGATATAGCGCTGCGGAGAAGGAACACAGGTGCTCCATTAGAGCTGGCTGCGCATTTTCAGGTTGCGCAGGCGGTGTCATAGGAGCCGTACATACTACTTTGCTTTGCGCATGTAATTTCTGGAGTCCTTGCGCCATCACGCTGCAAGAAAGACGTCGTGAAATCCATCTGGACGATGCTTCATCATGTGAAAGTATTGCAGTACATGAACGTTCATGTCTTGTACGTTTGTATGAACATGCACAATGTTCCAGAGCTAGTGCTGCGCTCGTAACTGGGCCAAGTGATAAGATGCAAACCCATGAGTTACATTACTGGCATCGCTAAAGGCTACGCTATTTGGCAAAGACGTGCTGTAAGCTAGAAGTAATATGACCAAAGTAGCGACACTGAGACACCTTTATCAAGCAAGGTCCACCTCGCGTCCTCTCTTCTTCAAAATAACCTGTATGCAATCCACCTTGGCCATACCATCCTTGCCTTTCATCTCTTGTTCCATATCCTTGGCCTCCCACACATGTTCAATATCCCGCATGACTCTCCGCAGGCTCGGGAAGCGCTTGACTGCATACATTTCCTCGAATCGATCCCGCACAAACTGTCGTTGTGTGCTGTCGATTGCCTCACACCCGGCAGTAAAGAGCGGCCAGATGTGTGAGGTGGTCAATGGCGACCGAACGTCCACCTGCTGCAAGTACGCTAGGCATTGATTAATGTGATCCATACTAATGGGATTCGGGGCGCCGATATCGAGCCAGGTCCGGTAGAGGTAAATGAAAGCTGCGTGGCGGTATGCTTCAGCTGTCAATTTGATGTCTGCGCTTTGCTGAACGTTTTCCTCCTTGCAAATAGTAAAATCCAAAGCCAGTAACTTCTGCTGGATATGCCTGCCGGTTGTGTTTTCGGTCTCTGATAGAGCGGGACTTGTTGGCGACCGTGACCTTCTCGTCTTGATGGTATGCTGCAACTGACTAATCTGAGCAACCACCAAAAGAACATCTGCAATGCTTGCTAGGCTCTCCTCCCCTTCGACAGCCGAAAAGTCGGCCTCATGATCCAGTAAAGGGTTTGATCCTCTGGAAACGGATGATAAGATGTCGTGGTACGCGAAGATGCTCATCAAAAAGCGCGCTCGCGAGCTAGCCAACCAATTCTCTCCTTGACTTCTGATTATCATCGCCTTTGCACCAGTCAAATGATTGGCAACACATTCCTCGTCATCTTCGCCAAAGAGTCGCGCGGATACCTGCATCATCATAACAGTCGCCAGCGCTGGCTCAGCATTCATTTCCGATGGATCCTGGATCATGCGTTGAAGTTCATGTATAGCGTCTCGTTGATGGCGGTACCTCTGAAAATACAGAAATGGATCTTTTGAAGATGTTGCGAGATGATTCGCGGCCATGGAGAGAATCGTAGATCTGAGCGCAGCAGATTCGCATGCCATGGCCGTCAGGTGTCGCTGAAAGGGAGTCGATATACCCATGTTAGGGGCCACCGATATGAGTGTGGAAAGTCGATCTATCCAGTAATCGAGAAGCCATCTATCATCTGGCGAGAGGCCGTATGACAGTCCAGGGCTGTTGAGTGGTAATAGAGGCATGCTCTTCGTCGACCCCGGCGATGCGAGTGTGTTCTCAGGGGTAGAAACGATCAAAGGCATAGACGAAAAACTGTTGACTGAAGCTGGGCTCATGGCAAAATCTTGCTCAACAGCTTTCTTCTTCCGACTCTTTCGTGGTTTGGTTAGAGTGCTGACAGTACCCTCCTGCCACTTCAACCTGACCCCGTAACCTTTGCATGTGATCTTCAGTCTCATACAGCGACCGCAAAATGGCTTCTGCTCGTCGCATTTGTACCCGGCCTCCCTGCACGTCCAGCATCCGGTCCGGGTTCTCTTATGTGTTGCCATATTAGTGAGTGGTACATATTCACTTTGTCGCTACATTTTCTGGTCCTCGTCTGTGAACACGCAGTTTATAGCATGTTCTTGAGCTTCCGAAGAGGTGTGCTGATGTTCAAGGATTGGGTAACAGATGTGGTAGTTGGACCAATCTAGGAGGTTGCGCAACATGGGAGGTGGAGAGTGGCAAACCACACTAATGCTAGCTCCCGCTCAGGTCCTTGAGGCCGAGGCTCATTATGCAACCATACGTAGCTGGGCTTGATATTCATATTGTACATATGTAGCAGTGTTTTCTCCTCTTCTTGCCGTCTGATATCGCATCCTACAATAAAAATCCGACGTCGACAAGCACCAAGAAGGAAATGCAGGCATTACTTTTGAATGACGTACGACTACAGCTTCGCGACATCCTTCCACACCAATCCACCCTGCTCCTCAACGTAGTGCCTTCCCTTGGTCCATCCCATCCACGTGCTCAATGTATCTTCTCCCCCGCTGCCTGGCTTCAACCCCTTCTCACTCCATCCACTACCCGTCCAGCCGATACCCTGACCCTCGGCCGCAGTTCTCTCATCATCGCCTTCGTGAATCGCATAACCAGGCGAAGTCTTCAGCGTGACAGCAGGTCGCTGATCGAATCCCTGTTCCTCCAACTCTGCTTGAGTAAAGACAGGCGTACAGCATGCATCCGTACCATCGAATATAGTCTCCCACTCGGCACGCGTCTTCTTCTTGAACTGTGCTGTGAAAAAGTCCTTCAACTTGGGCCAATCCGCCATGTTATCTCTGCTGCCAGGTAGATCCGACGCTTTAAGCCCCATGCCCTTTAATAGCGCGGCATAGAACTGGGGTTCAATCGCTCCGACAGCCATATAGCCCTCATCCTTGGTCTCATAGGTATCATAGAAAGGCGCACCACCATCCAGCATGTTGGTACCACGTTCGCGTTTCCAGACCTCCGTCTTCAAGCCTAGTCGAGGCATGGTCGCAAGTATAGCGCTTCCATCTACCATGTTCGCTTCCACGACCTGTCCAAAGCCACTGCGCTCACGCGCAAGAAGCGCAAGCAGTATACCGATAAAACACATGGCGCCTCCTCCGGCAAAATCACCAACTACATTGCCTGGCGGATATGGCTTCTCGCCCTTTCGCCCAAACATGCTCAGCACTCCCGACACGGCAATGTAGTTGATATCGTGACCCGCCATTTGCGCATACTTTCCGTCTCTCCTGAAACCCGTCATGCGCGCAATGATGAGCCGCTTGTTCAGCTTCAACAGCACCTTTTCTGGGTCCAGGCCTGCCTTTTCGAGTACTCCGGGCCGAAAGGGATCGATGAGGATATCGACTCGGGGTATAATTTTCTTGATGAGTGCAAGGCCGGCGGGCGACTTGAGGTTGACGCATATCGATGTCTTGCGACGCGTGAGCTGGTCAGTGGTCGGGGTACCGGGTGCGCGGTCGATACGGAGGACAGATGCACCGTAGTCGGCCAGGAGCATGCCAGCAAAGGGCCCTGGATGAGATGAGCTCCAAGTCCATAAGTAATTGCAGAGTAGAGAATATCGGGCTTACCAGGGGCCAGGCCCGCGAACTCGAGAACGCGTATGTTGGAGAGTGGAGGAGGTTGGGGCGCAGTCATGGTGAATTAGTTAAGCAAGTCACTCTGCTACTAGCTTTTGATATGCTTTAAGTGGTTCTCTGGAGACAAGCGCAGAAATATATCGGGTTTGTACATATTCGACGTCGACATTGTCGATAGGATGCGCCGGTTAACCACTCCCGCGGGGAAGATGCCGAGGTGCAGCTGTGGAGCGCTCGAGCTGGGGTAATAGTAGTTAGCGCCATCCCGCCTCGTAGCATGTAGCCGACTTGTCTTCCTTCCAACTAATACCTCCATCTTACACTCAAATATATTTTCTGTTAGTAGTGCCGGGATAATGAAAACTGGAATCAAACCTCAAACCTGGGGAGACTACAAAACCAGCTTCCCTCATGATCTCACCTTGCTGGGTGCCTTCTCCAGTCATCATCATGGATCGTTCACTTCACAACGTCCTCATGGACCCAGTATCAGCTATGATACATTGAATTCAATGAAAAAAAATGAAGAGTAACAAAATAGGAAGTCATAACTTAATCACGCGCTCACGCTTTCCTTTCACTCATGACCTTCCCGTCCTAGCTTAACTGCAAACGACCTCGCCAGTTCTTGCTCTAGCCAATATAAATGGCTACCTTCTTCTCTCCTTCCTTCTCTAAAACACACTCTTTCTTCTCAAAAGCCAAAAGATGCCCCAATGTCGGTCAATTCGCCACCCATATACACCATCGACCTCTCCCTGCCCCCGCGCTCACGCTACAAAGCCGTCGCAAGAGAATATGCCCCCACCCTGCACCAACTAACCAGCCTCTACACCGAAGTAGTTGCTCACCTCAAGCTACCCCCTTGCTTCTTCCATTACCTCGGCCGCTTGCTGCTCCGCCGCCTCGCTAGCAATGAGCAGACCGAGGAGTTACGCGGAATCAGTGAAGAATGCGGCGTACCCATGTACCTGCTGGTCGCCTACAATGTATTCCTTGACTTGCTTCTAGGCTGTACGAGTGGTGGTGTGCTAACTAAGAAACCTGAGCAAGAGGGTGAAGGAAAAGGGGGAGAAGGCGACGAAGAAGTGACAATGATGCACTTCCGCACACTAGACTGGTCCATGCCCGTACTTCGGGATGTCATTGTGCAATTCGACTACATCAATTCACCACAGGGAGAAGTCATAGCCAGAATAGTAGGCTACGTAGGTTTCGTCGGTATCCTAACAGGCGTACGCAAAGGCCTCAGCGTATCGCTCAACTTTCGTCCTTACCACAACGCATCAGGTCTATCCCTCGAGAACGCGCGATACTACTGGAACACACTGCTCATCCTACTAGGCCGACGCCCAAGTATCACAACCGTAATCCGCGACTTCCTACTCCCCAGACCCAAAGAAACACCGCGAGTCCGCCGAAAACTCTCCAAGAAACGAGGCCGAAACGGACGCAAACAGCAAGACCTCGAAGAAGAAAAAGAAGAATTAGTACCAACCTACCACCCCCCACACCCCCCAGACGCTGTAACCTCCCTCCTCCCCACCCTACGCACACCAGTCGCCTACCTAATCTTCTGCACACCCGACGAAACCCTCATCCTAGAAAAAGATTTCCGAACCGCAAACATCCTCCGCTCCCCAACCTTCCTTGCCACAACAAACCACGACATCGCCCTCGAACCACATTCTCCCTCCCAACAACCCACCACCACCTCACCCGTCCAACCCCACATCCACGCTTTCCTACAGTCAAGCATCTTCCAGCAAGCAAGCGTACAGGATATCCTAGACGACAGCATCTACCGTAAAGAATGCTTGACACTGGCGTGGCGGGCGTGGCGGCGGCGGCGACGACAGCAGGAGCAACAGCAGGAGCGACAGCAGGAAGCGGGACGTGAGGAAGAGCAGTCAGAAATGGGAGTTCCATTGAGTACGCTTGAGAGGTGGGTAGAGAGGTGGCCGGTGAGTAATGCAACTACGCATTTCGCATGTATTATGGATCCGGGGACGGGAGTATTTCGATGGGTTAGGAAGTTTGAGGCTGGGGAGATTGTGGAGCCGGGTGTGGTGGGGGAAGGGGAGTCTGTCTCAGGAGATATGTAGGGAGGGAGGAAAGAAGAAGAAGAAGAAGAAGAAGAAGGAAGGAGCATGTCTGGTTTGTACATTGTAAAGAAGAATATCCGTGCATTTACGAGTATGCTTCACGGATCAACTTCCCCCAAGAAGACAGGATAGAATAATGACGTTGCCATAACCATACATTTCTATTCCTACAACCCTCCCAACTAACTAACTAAGCCCTCGCCTTCCTCGCCTTAGGCTTCGCAACCTTCTTACCCGCACTCCTCAACCTCTTCCTCTCCACATTTGCCTGAATCCTCAAACTCCGCTTCCTCCACGCCGTCCACCGATCCCCGGGGACAAACTCCTTAACTTGCACCCCTGCCCTCTCCGCCGCACGCCCAATCACCCAGTTGGCCTCACGGTACGCATATCCCTTTCCAGACCGGAGACTCAATTCTTTCTTGGTCGCTTCCCTCGGTGCTTCGGCTCCCGCTACCGCTGCCGCTACTGGAGCGGATTCAGACGCAGGCGGTGGTGATGCGACGGGGACGGGAGTGAAGTTTAGACGTCGCCGACGAGCAGCGTTGGGAGGGTAAGGGAGCGTGTGGTCTTTTTCGAGGGCAACGCCAATGTATTGGCGTTTTGGGTGCAGTCGCGGGTCGCGGTAGTACCGTACGTAGCCGGATTCCGTAGCGAAGATGCAGTGGTCGCGCCCGAATTTGCAGTTTTCGCCGGGGAACCATGAGGTACCGCGTTGGCGGAAGATGATGTTGCCTGGGATTACGTATTCGCCTTTTTGCTATGGTTAGCAACTCGCTGTATTTCTCTTGTCTCTTTGTTGTGATTTTTTTTAAAGGGGGAATTGAGTGACCAAAACCTACCTCCACTCTTCTTTGCGCCTAATCGTTTTCCAGGTCCATCTTTTGCGCCGTTGGCTCGGCCTTGGGCTTGATGTGCGGAGTGTCGTACAAACGAGAGGACTGGGGTGGGTGTGGCAGAGCCATTGGCTACACGGAGGGCATCGAGGACACGGGTAGAGGGTGCGATGAAGGCCGCAGATGTCGCTATCGATGCGCGGACGGGCGCGAATATCCGTGGGAGCAGCATGGCCGCTCTGTTGCTGGAGAGGGCGGGCATTCGAGGTTGCAACTGCGACTTTTCGAGATATCCGCGTGGTCCGTGCGCTAACTCCGCAAGTCGCTGGTCAATGAACAATCTCAAGCCCTTGCAATTATGTCGATGCTACTACTTTTCAAGACTTAATTGGTACCAATTCTAGTTACTGATGAACATTGACGCATCACTGTATCAATCATATCTGTTTTCTAACGTAAAGCATACAATACCTAACCGTCGTTTCAATTAATTCATGCCAATGTAGCGTACACATCTCATCCATCACCTGTGAAATGGGCCCTTGTAACAAAAATCTAGTATGCTAGCACCCAAAACACCTTGCAGAGAATGCCGACCCATAGAACATAAGCGCTTAGACCATTACCCGCTACCCAGACATTTACTGTACTTGGTTGACAATCTCTTGCGCTTTGGTCAGACTCTCCACCATTTGCAGGCAGTCCTTCCTCCTCTTGACCGTGTACTCGGATTCCTTCAGCAACTCGTCCAGCTCGTCCGTCTTGTACATGTTGGTGAGAAGCTCGCCCTGCATGTTCTCCTTGGTCCACTGTACGAGGTTCAACATGATAGCCTTGGGTACCATGTCAATCATTGTCCGACGGACAATGTTGAAGTAGGATGTGATCAGCAGTTCTGCAAATGGTTAGCAAGCCGACATAGACAAACAAATTAGTCATGACTTACTGATAACCTCAACCTCTTGAGACTCCTTCTCCGAGAGAGTACCAGAGGCCTTGAGCGTAGGTGGCGGAGGCTCCATGGCAGCCATCTTCTTCTTGTTCTTGCTAGCAAAGAATGAACCGAAGAAGCCACCTTCTCCTGAATCCAGCGTAGGGGATATAGACCGCGGCGGTACAGAAGGCGGCAGTGGCTTTCCAGTCTTGGGATCAACTTGTTGGGGCTTGCTGCTGTTGTGTCGTTCGTGTACAATGGCCATGGCGCGGGAACCGTTGATGAAGTCTGGATGACCAGTGTTGATGTAAACCGACTCCATGGCGACGAGATCCTTGACAAGCTTATTGGTCGGCTCCATTGCTTTCTTAAAGAAACTGACAACAACCTGGTGCAGCTTTTCCTTGAGCGCAGGATACCTTCGGAAGGCGTTCTTGTTGAGCAGCTGCCCGAGGATACGGATCAACTCGTCGTAGACGAGACTGACACACTTCAAGCTGGGGTCTTCAAGTCGCTTGATCTGTTGCTTGACAATAAGCTCGAAAGCCGTAGTGCCGACGAACAGCGCTGGGGATGAACCAGAAGAGTTGTACAGAACTGTTCGGATGTCCATGTCCTTGACCTGGTCAAAGGGATCGACTGCCTTGACACCGTTGGCGTACAGCTCGTGGTAAACGAACGAGATACGAGCACCGCCAGACAGCTCGACTGCGGAAAGTTCCTGGTTGTTTCCTTCAAGCACTCCGCGGTATTCGTTGGTAAACTCTGTGATCATGTTAAGAACAATATTGGAGCTATTGCCCAGCATGGAGTTCCCAAGTGATGAAAGCTCGGCCTGATACTTTTGCAGCGAAGACGAGATGCGCGCTTTGATATCGGGAAGGGTTTGTTTGATGTGCATCATGAGAATCTGCAGTTGTCAGTTCACCGCTGTGCGTTCAGAAGCGCAGAAACCTACCAAGTTCAGCTTGCGAGCCAGGTAAGGCGTACCGCAGTAGGCCGCCTTGTTACGGTATGCCTTGTGGTTTTCAAAGTACTGCCTCTCGTGCTCGAGCGCATAGGAGATCGCTTTCTTATTCTCGATATCCCTTTGGCCTCTGTTTACGACAGGGACGTAACCCAATCGCAGTGGGATAATGCGCCCAGCGAGAATGTCTACAACGTCGGTTCCCTCGTCCATCAAGTCTACCTTTGTCAAAACACCAATTGTCCGTTGTCCTTCTGGGTCGACCTCGCGCGCGAGCTTCAGACCATCCGAATTGGCCAAATCAGTGTTGGCGGCGGTGACAGCCAGAATGATGGCATTGGGCTTGCTGATTTGCTTGAGAACCATCTCACGAATTTGTCGCTCGATATCCCTAGGTTGATCTCCAACAGGCACCTTGGTCAGACCTGGCAAGTCGACGAGCGTAAGTGTGAGGACATTCGGCGAGTATATCCTCAGGTTGATGGGCGCTGGCGAAATTCCTGCATTGCGACCAGTCTTTTGCTCCGTCTCCCTTACAATCTCATCTCGTATCTTGCTAAAGTCATGGAACTTTTGGCCAGGAATGTGCAGAAACTCGCCCCATTCATCGACATTGTTCTCTTGGTCTGTGGTCTTTGCCCCCTCGCCGGTGCCGTTGGATTGTGAACTGGATGCGCGGTTGATGAGTTGGAGAATGAGCGGCCTTCGAGTGACGATACCGGTTCCTCGGGGCAAACTACAGGGCTGTCGTCAGCATGCCATCGCCAAAGCGGTGTCGCAAATTGCAAGCACTCACAAGTCTCGTCCGACAATGTTTTCAAGCACCGAACTCTTTCCGCTAGACTGCGATCCTACGACTGCGATTTGGGGCAGATCTATAGGGTTTTGGACCTGAGTCAGGCATTAGTCTACGTATTGCGAAATGGAGTGCTGAGGTAGGTAAGGGGTAGTAACGTACTCCGACGGTGGTGAATACATCCTGGAGCTTGTTGACAAGTGTGATCAGCCCCGGATCGTTTACGTTGATACTGCTGGTATGTCAGTTCTCCTTGTTGCGAGGGGCTGCCCAAGACATGAATGTGCCTACGCATTAGGGTTTGCCGCCATGTTCGGCGATTTGTGGATTGTGTTTGTCAGGCGTCTCTTATAGGCGCTTCAAGAAGGATGTGTGCTTAGGGTTTAAGCAGGAGGGCGGGTGTTGTGTAGAGTGTGCGAAACGGAGGTGTATGAGATCTGGGGGTTCTTGATTGCAGGTTGCGTATCTGCTACAGGTTGTAACGTTTGGGAGCCCGAGCTTCGATACGCTGAGTACGCCACACAGCTCAGCCACACTACTCGGCTTGCAAACCCCCAACAGAAGATGCAGAGAGATACCAGCAGCTTCTAGCACGAACAGAAGCAGTACGCCACGAGCCATATATTTTTCTGCCAATGACACTTCTGTGACAGACAGCATTAACACACTGCCTCGGGTTTGCGAAGGGCTTGCGACATCCAGTCTTTTTTGCGACACACGTCACCAGTCATATGACTGATATCAAGTGCCCTCGACCGCCTTGGTGACAACGCACCCACACGTCCATCCCTCACCCGTGTGGCAAATATCCCTTCCCGACCAGGTGATAGGCAGCGCCATCACAGGACGCGAAGCAGCGTCGTCATCAGATCAGGCACCCGTCCCATCGTCCTCGGCCCAAAACCAAATACGGCTGCCTAACACAAACTATAGTAGCACGGCTTCTTGTCCCAACCTTATAAAAGAAGATGGGCTTGGCTTGATACATGAATAGCATGTGTACCTGACTTGATGACATGTGGTACAGCCAATACGTCTGTAAAAAACCCTTTCATATCATCTCATTTTCACACCACATCGGTCTAGTGTACACATCTCAACGAACATAGAATATGTATTGTACTCAGTTGCCGCGATCATCAACCAACAAAAAGACTGTCGCCTCCAGCCACATGTATCTACTCGTCAACCACAGATGCAAACTTCTCGGTCATCTTCTGTAGCAGCTGCTCGTACTTCTTGGTCACCGCCTCCTCGCCGTCGCTGGGCAGCTCAAACTTCATCGAGCGCAGCTGCGACTGAATGTCCGAAGTAGCGTCTCGAATCTTGGGCCATGAATGTCCTTGAGATACTGCCTTCTGCGCCTCGTCGTGGAAAGCCATCATGTTCTTCATCATCCACTCCGTCTTCCACAGCGGGCAGAATTGATCGTAGTCCGAGTATCCGTTTTGTTGCAAGAAGTCCTCCTTGAGTAGCGTAGCCACATCGAGCGTGATCTTGTCGCTGTCACCGAGTGCCGACTTACCCACAAGCTGCACGACTTGGTCGAGATCGTCGGATGTCGTTAGAAGCTCCTTGATGCGGTCACGCAGCCGTGGGAAATCGGGGTTGTTCTTCGCATAGAACTTGTCCAGAGGTGTGGTGTACTTGCTGTAACTGATCGAAGTGTTGACTGATGGGAAATGCTTGCGTTGAGCCAGCTTCTTGTCCAAACCCCAGAAGACTTGCACAATGTTCAATGTACTCGTAGTCACGGGATCAGAGAAATCACCTCCTGGCGGGCTGACGGCACCGACGATTGAAACACTGCCGTATCGCTCGGGGCTACCCAGAGCCTCCACGCGTCCAGCACGCTCGTAGAAAGACGCAAGCTTAGCACCCAAGTAGGCAGGGAAACCTTGGTCAGCAGGCATCTCTCCCAGGCGACCGGAAATTTCTCGAAGCGCCTCTGCCCATCGTGACGATGAGTCTGCCATCATTGCGACGTCTTTACCTTGATCGCGGAAATATTCGGCAACAGTAACTGTATCATCTTGTTAGCTGCCTGACCTTAGCATGTAGAACAAGCAGTGAATACTTACTACCAGTGTAAATTGAAGCTTCACGGGCAGCCACAGGCATGTTCGAGGTGTTGGCAATGAGGGTGGTACGCTTCATGATGGGCTCCTGCTTGCCGTCGACGGTGATGGTGAGCTCTGGGAAATCCATCAGGACTTCAGCCATCTCGTTTCCGCGCTCGCCACAACCAACGTATACGATAATGTCACTGTTGGAGAACTTAGACAGAGACTGGGAAATGACAGTCTTGCCGCATCCGAAGGCTCCAGGAATGCACACAGTACCACCCTGAACACTGGGGAACAGGGAGTCGAGCACACGCTGACCGACAATGAGCGGCTGGTCCGAGGACATCTTCTCGTTGGAAGGGCGGGGCACTCGGACGGGCCACTTGTGCATCATGCTGTACTCAGTCTTAGTGCCATTGAAGTCCAGCTCCAAAATCTTCTCGTCAACAGTGTAGCTGCCCTTCTCAGCGATGCGAGTAATGGTGCCCTTTGCGCGGGGGGGCAGGAGGATCTTGTGCTCGCTAAGAAGACTGTTCTCGAAGACGGTACCAAAGACATCACCACCCGTGATGTGGTCGCCGACCTTGAGCGATCCTGGCGTGAAGTCCCACTTCTTCTTGCGGTCGAGAGCGGGCAGATCAATACCGCGGGGAATGTAAATGCTCTTTGCGTCGTCGGCAATGCCCTTGAGGGGACGCTGAATACCGTCGTAGATGGTCTCCATAAGACCAGGGCCGAGCTCGACAGATAGCGGCTGTCCGGTACGGTAAACGGGGTCGCCGACGGTCACACCAGCTACGAAACATTAGCCAAGATTTCACATCAAGCTTGATATGTTGGCGGAGTGCGTACCAGTTTCTTCGTAGACTTGAATTGTGGCCTTGTCGTTTTCGATTCGAATGACCTCACCCACAAGGTTGTCGTAGCCAACACGGACCTGCGACTCTTAGTGACGGTCCCATCAGATATGGATATGGCGCACATACAAGCTCGTACATGGCACATCCAATCATGTTCTCGGCGATGATGACGGGACTGAATGGGTCAGTATTTGTTCGGAGCACTGCCTGGTATAAACATACCCGGAGATGGAGAAGATGGCGCCTGTCCGGAGTCAGCGGATTGTTTGTCGCAGCATTGCTGAAGCTTACCATGTTCCTGGCCGCCCTCCGACTTCTGGTCCTGCTTCTTCTGCGCCGTCTAGTCAGTTGGCTGTATGAGGGACCGAATGCATCTAATCGCTTACGGGAGGCATCGTGTATATCTTTATGTCCCACTCGCTGTCGCTGGCTTGTAGGTGGTATTGTTGCAGCCTCACGATGCGATGATGATTGCAGTAGTTGGAGGTTGAGCTTGGACCATGCGCTAACTCTTGGTGGGGACCTTCCTTGTCATCTGCCACCAGCCAACCGCGCTCCGTCTCTGTCTCTACTTGTCCCGCTATCGTTGCTCTTAATAGGCATTTACAGCAACCTTCTTTTATTTTATTTTAAGCGGGAGATATGAATAGCGATTGCAATTAGGTCAGCTATGCATCAGACATTATTGAAGTTCCGGGACCTTCATGGTGCACAATTATCTTCGCGGAGCTGTTCATCTACGTCATCGGCGAAACTGCATTCAGAGCTGCTCCGGTAAGCTGCAGTTGATAACTACCAGTACACGACATGCCACCCACATTTCCCCATCCTTTCCCAGCATGACATGTCATCATGAAGACCCATTCATCTCAACCAAAGTGTCGTTCCGCTCGTTCCGCTCCCTTTTCTCTGCTGCATCCGCAATACTGGTCCGCAACATATGTGTGCTTGTTAAAGCCCTAGAAGCCCTTCCATCCTCTGCCGCAGATAAGGGCTGCTCGGAAATGATGTATGGTAGGAATCGTGCAAGCAAAGGCTTCATCACGAGCAGTGATGCACAGATGATTGCTACATTGATCTCGATAGACGAGAAGACGATTGCAAAAGTGCCACACCCTGCATTTGTTCAGGTTGATGTTGGATCAGAATGGCCTGCAGTAACTTACTTGTAACTTGACCATTGACCATGGCATAGCGAACAAGAGCAAGTCGTAGAATTGTTATGATGCAAACACTGTGTTGTGTGTCAATATATAAACACTCGCTCGATACCATCAAGATACGTACAATCCGCCCAGTCCAAAGACGATCAATAGACCTGTCTTTTGTCGCTTTGGAAGACTTAGTCGGCCGACGACTGGAAGAGGAAGCATCCAGATTGTGACATCGACCACAATACCAATGATGCTGGTTGACCAAAAGTGCCGCTCCTTGTTCATGCAGACTCCAGGTACTGTGACATCCCAGTAACTCCTAATTGGGCGACAAAGGAAAATGTTGCCCAACGCGCCCCAGGCCGTAGCGCTGGATACAAGGATGAGAAGAACATAGCAACTCCACAAAACGTGTGGGACGAGCGAAAAGAGGCGAATGTACTGTAGTATTAGGGACGCTTTAACAAGATTGCTCGCTAGATGATAGAGAATGGCTTGAGCCAGCACAAGCTTCATGCAGTTAGCCTAGTACGTTCACACATCTAGGCATCTTACTTTGAGCATAGCAGGTAGCGATGCGGGGTATGTGGCGTCTTCTCGAAGATCTGCAGTGTCGATGCTAACCTCTATATCTCAGTTAGCTACCCCGTCAAACCTCAATCGACTCTAGTGGACGCGTGCCTTGCCCAATGACTGCCGTGAAGCCTATCGACAGCAGCTACGATGGTTAGGCTTATTTTTGGTCATGGCAACAGACATACTTACCACAGCAGCTGTGACGAAGTAGTCCTCTAATCCGATTCTACTTGGATTTGAACAGGTTCGGCTACATAACCGTAGAATGACCATTACTAAAGCGAGAGCGGTGAAGACGACCGTAGGGATGAGGGCGTCATAGCCGATGTCTGCGGTTGCTTTCGATCTGATGACAAACCAGCTTGGTGATTGGGCATGCGTCATGACGGGTTTAGGTGATGTAGATGAAGCTTATGGCAGCCGTGAAGCATTTGCAAAGCGATAGAGTGGCTCCGGATATGAGGGTGCACTGCAAACCATTACAGGCCTATCCTTATGGCGGCATATACATGTGGTCTAGGCTGATCTTTGTGCCTCGGGAGAGTAGTGTGATAGTGGTTGGCATGATGATGCAGAGCCACTGAGGCCAGCGTCTTCCGATCTTGCTCTTGAAGCAAGTGAACGGCCACGATTCTGTATACGATGCCGAAACAAATGACTATTCGGTATGTATATGGGCTTTTCAAACCGAGACGCCTCTCTGAACATGAAATGAATCAATTGAGGAGGTTGACTGTTGCTCCGGAATGTAGCGAAGCGTATGCGCTGGTACACACGTGCCCATAGTATGGTTCAGAGCGGGGTCGTCACCTGCGTGCTAGGACCTTCCGGTCTGTGCCTCTGTGTAGTCATACGATGTTCCTGGAATATGTTTTTATTGGAGGCCAATGATACTTTGTAGAAGAGCAATGCTAAGCAAAAGGTCCAGGCTTTATTCTCGAATCGTAATGGGGCGCAACTGCGTGGGGGGAGCATTGGAAACCACTCGGAGAATACCTCTAGGCGACGCGCCACCACATGCTACTTTTATGCATTAGTAGAGTGACGTATGAGGGAGGCACATGTGAGGACAGTGTGCATATTGTGCCTCTACCTGCAGTACGTCTCTAACAAAAGGCAATGTTAACCGACTCGAGCAAGGCGATTATTTGCCAGGAAATCTTATATGCTAGCAACAGGATCGTACGAGTTTCCTAGTTGTTTCCAGTTTTGACAGGAGGCATTCATTGGCAGAAACCATAACAAGCCCGGTATCATCTCTTGGGATGCAAGGATGATTCGGCGACACGAGACTTGAAGTTGTCGGCGTGAACATGGATGTTGCATGGAATTTGCCTTACTGGTGACGAGCGGGAGGCAAACAAGTCGGAATAGTGCAAATGCAATGCCGACGTGGCAGGTCAGTGTGAGCACCTAGCGAGGTGTTGCTGAGATGGTATTATGATAAAGAAGCCAAGCAGCCAAGACGACGCTGGACGGTTGAGAACTAGGGTGCATGCTCGAGTGGGCTGGTGTGCAGCTGCACCGGGATTTGTCACCATTCTAGGAAGCGGTGTAGTTGAAACGCATGACGCCGGGCGCCTGGCCAATGTCCCCCAATTAACACTGAGTAGGCGAACAGCAGGTGTGGCGGAGGATAGTCGCGCGATACCGTATCTAGGCATGTACTCATATACTCTCCACGCTGTACGCTTGTGCTTGTTGGGTCAGATGTGGAAGGTTGTGACGAGCCTCGCGGACGACCCGAGGCTTGCGCAGTAGCCTCGTCGTGATAGCATGCGGGCTGACAGGGGTTGGGGCGCAAAGACTGTTGGAGTGTGATGTGATGGCGCAACATCAGCGTGCACGGGGGACGCCGGACGCGAGGGCATTCACGAATGCGCGTTGGGGGACATAGGGAGTCGTGTGCAAATTAAGCTTTTCGCAGGTGTTCACACACATGTGTGGGATGCAGATGTGAGGGAGAGCCAGTGCCGTGGTGTTTGGACAAGGTGGGCCGAGCACGCTAGGCGCCGTTAGCGCCGATTACGCTCATGGCGATTTGGAATCAACCCGTACCGAGCGCATGGTAAGCGTGGCCATCTCTCCTCGGGTACTCGATTGGGCCTTGGCCGGTAATCTAGTATTTGTCAAGTACGCACATCTATTTCCCGACCTCACGGCCGCTGGGTCACGCCTACTTACTGCCGCTATGCCGTTGCATACTCATTGGCGGGTTGCTATCGCCCGACACCTTGCATGCTTCTGCGGGTCCGCACATAGGTCTGTATACTCTAGGTCTGTGTAGGCTGTCATTTTGTTCCTCTTATTCGCCATGTGCGCATGTACTGTTGCTTTGCCACTGTAGTGAGAGTCTCAAACACGTAATTCGATGGGGCCGTTGCTCGGCAAGCCTGAATCGTCATTTCGGGACATGTTTCGGGGAACTTGGTCCGCACGTATTACGGAGTATCTCTTCCATATGCATGGATAAGCATTATGCTGTGACAAATCGACAAGAGCCATATATGTGTCCGTGGAGTGCCGCTTTTTCTGGCAGCATAAAATTGTGTCGTTGACCTTGAGATCCAAGTCTTGATACCATCTCCATCCTTTCACAAATACCAATGGCTCCAGTCTCTCTTCACCAGTCATCACATCCGTTCCTGACGCCTACGCGCGCATCGGATATATCCTCATGGACACTATCAGTGCCCGAACGGAGTTCGAACTCCTCCACTCAGTCTACCGATGCCCAGTCACGTCAAGCTGCCATCGAAGCCTATCGACAGATGAAAGCCGCCCTTTTCTCCAGGTCTCTCCATTCAAACCTCTCCCGGTCTACCTAAGCACCTCTCACGCTGCCGCAACATTGCAATAGCACTGTTCTGGCATATTGCTGTATCACGATTTACGAAACACTACCCACCAGGACGACCCGTTATGAATTTACGCCGTCCTCTGAGTTGCCCATCACTAGATTCTGGGTTGGCTGAATCCCCCAACAATATCCTCATAGCCTGGTTCGGAGTTATAAATAGGGCTTTGATGGCTGCCTTTTAGGGCTTTTTTTGGAAATGAAGTGACTAAGCCTTGTAGCCGGCGTTTGGAGTACAGGTACTATGTAATTAGACCAGTTTTTGTGTTTTTTTCGCGTCTGGGTTCCGGAACAATGAAAAGCAAAGTGGCACGTCAGAGCGTCTGGTGCTATACTTTAATTATCCCTTAATGTAGTCATCTTTGTCTCCCGTACTACTGACGAAGGCTTGTTCACGTGAGTGGCATTTAAGTGCAACATATTCTTGGGTATGCTTACCTGTACGCCGGACCGCTGACCTAATCGTATAGTCAAGTGAAGTCGGTATAGGCAATATGTAGGTCATGACCAAAAGCTGACTGTGCCCATAATTAAGTTGAACAGCTCAGCTTTCGTCCCTGCCCGGTTGCATCATTTCCGCACCCGCTGCCCGCTTATCGATATGAGTAGGTCCGTGCGTCAAAAGTTGATCCAACGCGACTTTGCGAAAACACGATCCGACGACCTTCACTGCAACCACAATCCAATCCTTCCACTCGCTTGAAATACCGTAGTTCTATCTTGGAAAATGTCGGGAAATACACCCAAAACAATGTCCAAAGGACTCATGGGAATGAAGGCAAGTTGCTGAGTCTTCGCGTGGTCACGGCATTTGCTAACCAATGCATAGTTCATGCAGCGTGCTGCAGCAAAGTCTTCGCCTTCGTCGCCGGCTACCTCCAACGGGCCTCCGGCCAAGAAGGCGCGTCTGTCACATGGCGCATCCGCCGTGGGAACTTCAGATCAAGAGATTATACAATCAGGGCTCGATGCTGAAGAAGCAAAACGTCAGGCGGCACTGGACAAGGCGGCGCAACATGCGGGTGAAACCAAGTGGGTACTGAGCTTTCAAGATCCTCTCAAGGGGAAGCGGCAAGATGCTATGCAGGTCAGGCATGCGGGGTATGCGGAAATCGATGCGCAAGATGATTCAGAGGAGGAAGAAGAAGAAGAAGAAGAAGAAGAAGAAGATACCAGACCTGTGAGAATGCAGTTTGGTGGTGGTGTCAAAAAGGTAGACGTACGTATCATCCGACTCGGGTAGTTTCCCTTGGCTAATGGCGTTGTAGACTTCGGTGCCGATGGTAAAAACAGAGGATTCGGAATCCGACTCGGAGTCTTCATCGGACGATTACGATTCGGACGATGCTGCAGCAGATCTTATCCGGCAGACGAAACGCGAAATTGCTTCGGAAAAGCGAGAATCCAAGAAGAAAAGGGCAAGCATGGGCAACAGCACGCCAAACGGAACATCAACGCGACAGAACGAAAACAGAAGCCTCAATGGCTTAACATCTATTTCGGGCGGCCGGCGATCCGGTGGCGGAGGCATTAGCGGAGGATCTAGTCGCATGGACAATGTGGATTGCTACAAATGTGGGGAGAAGGGGCATATAGCAGCAAACTGCTCCAACCCGTCAGCCCCACGGGGATCTGCGGGTAGAGGGTACGGTAAAGGTCGGAGATAGGAAAGGCGCGCGCCGGCTTGACATTTATACGCATACGCCTTGTACGGTTCAATGATACCCCGTGGAGACTTGGTCTTCTTCGATCGCGAGTGCGATCAGCCAACCTTTTGTCCATTTTCCACCAGCATGTACTCATCGCCAACCATCATCTTCATCTGGCTGTCGTCCATGAAGTTGTCGTGGTCGCCGTTCAAAGCAGCGCCCTCCTTGTCGTACATGAACTTGGCTAGCGCGAGATAGTCGGGGAAGACAAAGGTGCAGATGGCGTCATAATCCATCAACTTTGCGTTTCCCTGCATAATGTCCTGGATGACCTTTCGGTCGCGCTCAAGATGATACGTCTGTTGCGGTCTCAGCCTGGGCAATGCCGCAAACGCCTTCAGGGCAGAGTAGTATATAGAAGCGAAGCGCCTACAAGGCTGTAGCTGATGATTCCATGACGTTGGAGGATGGGCACGGCCCTCTGTGCATGCTTATTGTTGTAATAATCGATAAAGTCTTCCTCTGACATGCCCTGCTTCTTTTTGATATAAATTGTCGCCTTCACGACCTTTCGGAAGCCCTCTGTGTTTGGATAGCCGGCCTGGAATGATTTGGGCACCATGTTGGCGCCAAACGAGATAAAAGGTGGACGGGTAATTGCAGCAGCGCCGACAATAGGTGCCTGGCCCGTCTTATCGAGAATCTACGGCCCACTTGATCTCATGTTGAATCCCTCCCGGGGGCTCGGATCTCCGCCTTAGGTTGACTACTCTTGTCGCGAGATCCTCACTCCTCCGCATCCGTCCGCTGTTTTCTTTTTAGTCTCACTCACCGCCCATTGCTTGCCTTGGGCGCACTAGCTCTTCTGGGTTGTTCGCGAGGTTACTGTTACCAGCGATTGGAGCAGTACCGTGTTGACAACGCCCGTCCCCTTTACGCCTTCACAGCCACCGGCTTGGCTCCACGGCAACTCTTGTGGATGCTCCGCTCTTTAGGCGCACGACAGTCTCTGGGAAATCTGTCGCTCGTATCACGACCCCAAACGACCCTATTTACGCTCCCGGTTGCCAGATCGGTCGCGCGGTACACAGTACTGTCAGCAAATTGCCCAGCGTTGATCTCGCCCGCCACTAGTCTCCGCCAGCCACGCCGCATATATAAGTCTCCCCTCCCCCAGACTGCCATCGCCGCGCCACCTGCGACCCAGCGAAGCCTCACAAACGCACCAAGAAAAAGGAATCAGTCAGCCAACATGGCTGGAGCGTTGGAACGGGAGGCTGTTCGACAGAGGATTGAGGATCTCGAGAGGCCACAACTCGACGACCGCTCCTACCGAATCCTTACTCTACCAAACCAATTGGAAGTCCTTTTGATACACGAGGCGGAGACCGACAAGGCCAGTGCGGCGCTGGATGTCAATGTGGGCAGCTTCAGCGATGCGCCCGACATGCCAGGTATTGCCCATGCAGTAGAGCATCTGCTGTTCATGGGCACCGAGAAGTATCCAGAAGAGAATGCGTACAACCAGTACTTGACGCGCCACGGTGGCTATTCAAACGCCTTCACTGCTTCCACATCGACAAACTATTATTTCGAACTCTCCTACGCTGCCACATCGCCTACGGCCAGTAAGGCTGCGACACCAGAAGCCTCATCGACAAACCTATTGGAGTCTGCAGATGAGTCACCGCTACGAGGCGCATTGGATCGTTTTGGTCAATTCTTTATTAGTCCGCTGTTTCTCGAAGACACGGTGGATCGCGAGCTCAAGGCGGTGGATTCAGAGAATAAGAAAAACCTCCAGAATGACACTTGGCGCATGCACCAGCTCAACAAGGCGCTTGCCAACCCCAATCACCCCTACAACCACTTCTCCACAGGTAGTTACAAAACCCTACATGACGATCCCATAGCACGTGGCGTCAAGATTCGTGATGAGTTTATCAAGTTCCACTCGACGCACTACTCTGCCAACAGAATGAAGCTGGTAGTCTTGGGTAAGGAGAGTCTGGACACATTGGAGTCATGGGTAGAAGAAATCTTTTCCAAGGTGCCAAACAAAAACCTCGGACAGAACCGCTGGGATGTGCCTGTATACACAGAGGCAGAACTTTTGACGCAAACCTTTGCTCGGCCAGTTCTACAGTCTCGGTCGCTGGACCTTCAGTTTGCCTACCGCGACGAAGAGAACTTTTACGAGTCGCATCCATCGAGATACCTTAGCCATTTGCTTGGCCATGAAGGCCCTGGTAGCGTTCTTGCGCACCTTAAAGCGAAAGGTTGGGCAAATGGACTCGGCGCAGGAGGCTCGACTCTGTGTCCAGGGTCAGGGCTGTTTACTGTAAACATCAAGTTAACAGAAGACGGCCTGAAGAACTACAAAGAAGTCGTCAAAACTGTCTTTCAATACATTGGTCTGATGCGCGATCAGCCGCCTCAAGAGTGGGTAGTAGAAGAGCTGATGCGCATCAGTGAGGTAGAGTTCCGCTTCAAGCAAAAGAGCCCACCAAGCCGGACTGCCAGCGGGCTGGCAGGTATCATGCAGAAGCCATATGACCGCAAAATGTTGCTCAGTGGGCCAGCCGTTATCAGGAAGTTCGACGCCAAATTGATCAATGAGGCCATGTCATATCTGCGACCAGACAACTTCAGGTTAACCATCATCAGCCAAGATTTTCCGGGTGGTTGGGACCAAAAGGAGAAGTGGTATGGGACGGAGTACAAGATTGAGAGGATACCAGGCGACTTCCTCGCTGAGATCGAGGGGGCTTTTGAAAGCAAGAGCCGACCAGCAGAGTTGCACTTCCCCCACAAGAATGAGTTTATACCAACTCGATTGGATGTCGAAAAGAAGGAGGTTGCTCAACCCAGCAAGGAACCAAAGCTTATTCGCCATGATGACAATGTCCGCATATGGTGGAAGAAGGACGATCAGTTTTGGGTGCCCAAAGCCAATGTTCACATCTACTTCCGAACACCGATGACCAACGTTACCGCACGGGTTACACTTTTGAGCACACTCTATCGTGAGCTTGTGAACGATGCTTTGGTTGAGTATGCTTATGACGCTGATATTGCGGGGCTGGTGTATGATTTCACCAACCACATCAGTGGCTTGTCGATAACGGTTAGCGGCTACAATGACAAGCTGCACGTACTACTGGAGAAGGTTTTGCTCCAGGTTCGGGATCTCGAAGTCACGGAGGATCGTTTCAATATCATCCATGATCGCATGCTAAGGTCTCTACGCAACTGGGAGTACGGACAGCCTTTCCACCAGGTCGGCACTTACTCCAGACAGTTCAAGAGCGAAAAGTGTGTGATGAACGACGAGTTACTTCCAGAACTGGACAACATCACAGCCAGAGATGTGCAGCAGTTCTTTCCGCAGATCCTTGCCCAGTGCCAAATTGAGGTGCTTGCGCATGGCAACTTGTACAAGGAAGAAGCTTTGAGAATCACCGACCTTGTAGAGAGAACTATCCAGCCCAAGCGGCTGCCGGCGAACCAGATCCCCACCCGTCGAGGTCTCCTTTGGCCTTCGGGGTGCAACTTCATCTACGAAAAGCAACTCAGCGACCCCGCAAACGTCAATCACTGCATTGAGTACAACTTGTACGTTGGGCATCACTATGACAATGTCACCCGTGCCAAATTATTGCTTCTTGGACAGATGACAGATGAGCCTTGCTTCAATCAACTTCGTACCATTGAACAGCTTGGTTATGTTGTCTTTTCTGGGTCCAGCTTCCATGATGTCTGGTCTGGGTACCGCATTTTGATTCAGAGTGAGAAAGATTGCCGATACCTGGAGGGCCGTATTGAAAACTTCCTCAACACCTTCGAGGGAACGCTTGCTGCGATGAGCGAAGAAGACTTTGAGAGCCACAAGCGAGCCATGATCAACAAGCGCTTGGCGAAGCTCAAGAATCTTTCATCAGAAGATAACAGGTTCTGGAATCATATCTACAGTGACTCGTATGATTTCCTACAAGGTATGTCTTCCTATAGTCCTAATAGTATGACGGTGCTAACGATCACACAGCCGACGTTGATGCCGAAAACCTTGAAGAGCTCTCAAAGAAGGATATGATTGAGTTCTATGGCCGATATGTCTCGACGTCGTCTTCACAACGTTCTAAGCTGTCGGTGCACCTCCAAGCACAAGCCAAGGCCAAGGAGCCATCGGTTGAGGAAAAGAAGACTTCTGCTGCCGCTTCACTCCAGATCATTCTCACCGAACACAAACTCAAGTTTGACGATGCGGCTTTCCAAACTCGCGTGGCCGATGCATCATCTACTGACGAGATCTCAAAGGCTGTGACTCGTTACCTGAGCGAAGACATCAAAATGGAGGGTGATGTTGCAACCAAGGTACTAGATGAAGCAAGGGCTGCACTTGGTGTCGCCGACTCTGGCTTGCCAGCAGCACCACAAACACTAGATGCGGCTGCGGATGTAGAGAGTGTGGTTGATGCGTCGCATCCTGTTCTCATCAAGGATGTGCATGCGTGGAAAGCGAGCATGCAGATCAGTACCGGCGTGCGACCGGTACGGAATCTGGATGAATTCGTCGATGTTGTAGAGAAGCTTTGAGGGGAATATCAAGCCCTCGAATGTACGAAGCAGTCGCATGCAATAGAATAGCGTAGACAAATGGGTTGGCAACTTGTCCATCGCAACGTAGTAACAAACATATTAACGACGGCTTTTATGTGCAATCTATGTGATTGAATGTGCACATTTCATGTGTGTTTTGCTCTGCAAGGTCCTCGTGACCATGTGCTGATGTAGGAATAGTCATGGGAGGAGTGAGGCTCCACATTTACCGCATGGCAGAGACGCGATGAACAAGGCTCGGCCCGCTTGACTTCCGACGACTTTGTCATACACGACAGAACATCCATACCCACCCAGCATGGAACTGCCGCACGCTCTACTGCGCAAAAAGCTACCTGAACCTGCGGGTTGAGGCAGAAGTGGAGAGCATAGAAGAAGAAAAACCCCCCAAAAGAGACGGAAGCACTGACGACAACCATGCTACGAAGAAGCCTCCTTCGAGCGACTGCACGTCATCAACCTCACTGCACACGCAACCCAACTCTCCGCCGCTACGCCACCGACCCCGTCTCGCCCGTCCCAGCACCAACATCCCAATCGCGAATCGACCGCTTCAACCGCCGCCTCCCCAAGTTCCTCCACAAATACACAAACGCACTCGGCAACGCGCCCGTAGCCCACATAACCTCCTTCCTCATCCTGCACGAACTCACCGCCGTAATCCCCCTCTTCGGCCTCGCAGGCTACTTTCACTACACGCATTGGCTGCCACCGTGGATCGCAGAAGGCGCATGGATCGCATCGGGCGTGGAGCGGTTTGGTCGGTATTTCAAGCGCAAAGGCTGGATCCACGGCGAGGAGGCGCTGGAGGCTGAGCGCGAGGTGGACGATATGCAGAAGAAGCAGAAGTTGCGGAAGGTGGATCAGGCGTGGAATGTGGGGGAAGGAGGGGTGAGGCTGGTGGTGGAATTTGCGACGGCGTATGCGGTTGTGAAGATGTTTTTGGTGCCGAGGATCGTGTTTAGTGTGTGGGCTACGCCGGCGTTTGCGAGGTGGACTGTTGCGCCTGTGTTGAGTAGGTTTGGAAAGATGTTTGGGAGGGGGAAGGGCGTGGGAGGTAAGGCGGATGGGGCGGGGACCGGGGCTGTGGGAGGGGGTGCTGTGCCGAAGAGTGGGATAGGGAAGAATTGATGGTGACGTGAGATTGTGCTGAGGAAATTCGAGTCCAATTGTTGCTTTTGGAGTTGACGGTGAAGTCTGAATTCTCCTTTCATCCGTGTACAAACGCTTTGGGCTGAGGTTTGCTTCGCCATCCGTCAACTTTCAAATCCGTCTTACTTTCTTTATCTTCAGTCCAATCCAATTCGGATCTACTTTACTCTCACGCCCAGTATCATGTGCTTCGACGGCAACGAATTCGACGAGTACGAAACTAGGGTTGAGATCCGCAATGGCGAGCGCCATTTAGTCAACACCTACTACCCACGCCATGGCATGTCTCGCCGCCGTAGGTACGGATTTGGCGGCTCTTATTACCCTTCACGATACTATGCTCGCCCGCCTACAGGCTGCTACACAAACAGGCAGTACGCCTATCTGGATCGCTACCCCAATGTACCGCTGCCTCAAGACTTTGTCAGAGACGTATATCCCAGACAATACTCTGTACATGGGCACAGAATGGGATATCGCGTTGGAGCTCGCGCTGCTTTGCCGAGACGTTACTCAACGGTAGGTTTCTTCCACTTCCCTTTTTCGCTGTTTGCGTTGCTTTCTGCCTTTTCTTCCTCACACCGATGCTTTTCTCCCTTACCATTGGTTCGTATGAGGAACTATACGCTGTGGCCTTCGAGTCCCGGCGCGCGGCTTTGCTCTTGAGTTCCGTTTGTCAGGTGGGTGTCTCACATTGGCCTTCACCTTGACTCTTTCCTTGCTTCGCCCCACTGCAATCCCTCGATTGCGGTCTATCCCACTTCCTCACCTCAACACCATCGCAACCTCCAACGCCTCAATCACTTCCCAAATTCTCCCACGCCCATTGCCGCAATGGAGGCATACCCCAAGCCTCGCCACCAATACATCTACACTCCCCGCTACGGGCAACGCGGCATCCTCACCTATGCGGGACAAGCCCCCAACGGTGCCGCACCCACAGGCGTAATCGGCGGCGCCTATGCCTATGGAGTTGGTTACCCAGCAACAGCAGCAGCAGTAGCAGCGACGGCCTATCAACCTGTGGTATACAACACTCGCCCTTTCTACGGCCCCAATTATCTTTATCCCTACTACAACCCTGGCTATGCATACTACAACTCCTACCTCTACGGCTCCCTATACCCCCTTGCTAACTTCTACTTCCCCTACCAGCGGTCTTACTACAACGTCGTGCCCTCCTACGGCTCTACAGCGCACGTCTACCCCCCGGGCCATGCTACCACAACAACAACCACCTACCACGTAACCAACGCCCAAGCCCCGCTGTACGCCTCCCCCACCGCCCAACTCCTGCGCGAAACCCGACCGGCATACGCGCACGGCCACGCTTATACGCCGCAAGCCCCCACTCGCGAGGACATCCAGTTTGAGAATCGCCGTATTGCCACGCAGCGTGGGGCGTACGATGCGCGCAAGATTCGGCCTGCGGATGCACGTGATGACGACCCGTTTTGGTGCCGCGAGGTCAATGGCGAGTGGCATCTGCGGTCGTATTATCAGATTGAGAATGAGTGTCATCCCGGAAGGTGGATGATGGATGCTGAGATTGGGTTCTTGGTGTTTCATCGGACGTAGATGAGGGCTTCAGTGAGGGTGGTGTGGAGGTAATTGAAAGGGAGGAGGAGTCAGATTATGTGGAGTGGGGGGTGAGGAGCGATAAGTCATGTTCATGTTCTGATTTTTGATTTATGGGATACCCTTCTTCTTTGAGAGGTTCAGTCAGGTCTACGACGATGACTTGGCATATTGGCGTTTGGGCTCCTATCACCTTTGCAGACAGGTCTGTGTTCCATGGGATACAGTCTGATTGCCCTATCGACCACGAGGCGGTGATGGAATGAGGGAATGTACGAAAGTTCATAACCGATATGATGATGAATTCGATGGAAGTTAATACAATGAAGTCTTTGCCATCCTTGTACATCATACGTTCATGAAATTGTAGAAATGTACAGTACCAAATCGTTTCAAAATCATCAACGCAAATACAGCAATGGTCATCAGATATTGCGCTGACGGCACAATTACCTGTTCCCATACGACATGACTAATTCCCAGTGTAAACATCATCCTATCCAACATAGACGCATCCCTCTCACACACCACACCACTTTCCTTCCCTCGCACTACAAATCCAGTATTCCATACCCAACCAACACAAAATGCACGACACACATCACCACATCGCCCTCGCATACTCCTTCACAAGCTCAACCCCAAAGTCCTCCTTACCCACTTCAACACTCCAATCTTTAATCCCAGTACTATGACACTGGACCCCGACAGACAGCAAAAAAGACTAGAAAATAAAGGAAAGGAAACTTTGTCTCCAGGTGAACAGAGGTGTGGACCTACGTACGCGCTAGATGCCGGACCGTCGACCGAGGAGGTACGTAGCGGGGTGGCAAGATGTTTGAAATCAAGGATAGAGGAAATGGAGAGTGTGGGATAAGAGAAAGGCATGACAAGGAAGAGGGGAATATTACTTGATGAGATTCTATTTTTTTTTACGTATGAAGTGTGGATTTTGCTCAAAAGAGATAGATGGAGGAACTCGGTATGCCGTACATAAACTTTAGGCTCTACAGAGTTCATGCGATCTTTGGAGTGGTTGATCGGCGTTGGGTGGATCTGTTGGGCATGTAGAAGGCTGCTGGCGTTTTCGCTTTCAGAAGAAATCTTGTTGCAGATGGGATATGCGAGTATGGGTTTTAGTGTCAAAGATGCTATAGAAGTCGCTATGAGAGATCTCGTTGATAGACTCGCTTGTTGTGAGTGCGGTTGCACTGACTGACATCTGTCTGAGGAGTCATGTATTTGATCCGTTGTTTGGACTCAAACGTCTGGGTTATTGGGATAGACAGAATGAGGAGGGACTGTCTCTGCTGTGTATAAATAATGGTATGTAGAGGTCAAGGGACCTGCCATTGCGAACACAGCATTTAGTATTTTCCATGAATATTCGCTGTTCTCGTTTCGTTCCTATGCATCTAGGGAATACTGCAAGGCAGGAGTTTTGTTCCGAATAAGTAACAGCACAAAGGTGTTTATTATGGCCTCCTTGTGTACTCAAGTCGTAGTGACTAGTCCCGCGACTCCTGGTTAAGTGGGCGTTACCGAGTACGTAACAGAAGTGCTGAGTAAGTCATGAATCAATACTTGATAAAGAGCATTCACAAATCCAACGCCATGATTCGCCGGATGTTTAGTCAACAACGCGCCCCGATATCGAACGCTAAGGCTTTCAGGTTCAGAGATGCACCATGGTTCTCGAACTGTTTGGCTGTTCCGTCAAACAATGGGTAGGTCAAATATCTGGAATGAATGAGAGGGGCTGTTGCTGCTTACTACCTTGCTACTGATGAATATACTGGAGATTCGACCACTTGTGCGGTAGGTGTGTAGGCATGCGATTCCGTCTGCGTTGACATTGCTACGTATGCACTGTGGAGAGCAGAGCAAGTGTGATACTGCAACGGTGGAGATTGCTCCTACTACAGTATCTAGAATAAGGGCAGAACTGGGGGACCCCAGAAACTACATTCGCAGGTGGGATGTTCTGCCTACCTGTCCCTAACGGTTGGGGCTACGTTTGGACGCATGATGTGATTTTCATGCCCAATCAACCTCTTTGGCATTTGAGTATCTGTAGAAGTGCAAGCAAATTCCATTCTTCATGTGCTATAACAGTACTCAGACGATAAAAGTTCATAAGAAAAACTTTCTACGTGTCGAAGATTCACATTTGTTATGTTCTCGACATGCAGAGAAGAAATTATCCATTGGCTGAATTGGGAATCCGACGAAAGGTTGCACAGCTATCAATTACATACGAAAGATGAAAACCAACAAAACTCAGAAAACTTAGAAAAAATTAGAAAGTGATGATTGTCGTACTCATAGAAAGTACCATTTCACTATTTCTCCAACCCCGCCGCAGCCTCGCCCTGACGTCACAAGCACCCCCACATTTCTCGCAGCTCACCTCCGAACCCTCGACCCGACAAACTTTAGCTCAGATGCCGCAGCAACCACAACACCGAGAACCCCACTCAACCGGCTCACACCTAACCACATTTCTCTTCGTCTCCATATTCGTCATATCGCTGTTCCCCGGCATTTTCGTCTCCATCTTCTGGGCTCCATACAACAGTCTCGCAAATTACTTTGTCCCCACGCCCGCACCGCGCAAAAACGTCGTCTGTACCACTCCAAACATCTGCACTTCGCCGCCCATAATGTCTTGGTAAGTTCGGCAATCCCCCGTCAAATTAAGCAATATTGCTGTAACAAAGAACTCACTAACGACTTTTAGGTACCAAAAATCCCTTACACTACCCTCGCGCTCCCGCGGCTGCTACCTAATTACGGACCACATTCTCAAAGAAGTCCCAGAAATCAAGCAGTATAAGACGGGCCTCTTGAACCTCTTCATCCAACACACATCCTGCGCCCTCTCACTAAACGAGAACTACGACGAGGACGTGCGCGCGGATATGGGCACGGCGCTTGACCGCATTGTACCCGAGGACAAGAAGAACCAAGGGCTTTATCTGCATGATGCAGAGGGTAGCGATGATATGCCGGCTCATGTCAAGTCTGCACTGGTTGGCGCTAGTGTTACCATACCGATTACAAATGGGAGGTTGAATACGGGAACGTGGCAGGGGATTTGGTATTTGGAGTTTCGTGACTCGAAGCATACGCGCAAGGTGGTGGCTACGATTCAGGGAGAGAAGATGTAGAGAGGTGATATGATATCCATGCATGGTTAGATTTCTGAGCAATATATTTTGAGCTGCGATAAGTCAAGTTCATGGAATTCAACAATTACTAAGCAAGTGAGCAATGTGTTTGTAGTTCAAATGCATTCTCTCAGCATCTTACCCTTTAGCTGATCAGGTTTTCCGCAATTAGTGTTGGTACCAAATGGTGGAGGTCACGCGGCATTTAAACGAAATCAATAGTATGCCTGCTTGCAGGACTTTCAATTGAAGCACATATATACACCCTCGCAAAACCCAGAAAGGGTTTACCGCTGTGAAAGCGGCTCGTCAGTGACCTTTTGTGTCTCATTGACTTCCGCCGCGTTGCCCTTGGGTCCCAGTGGGTATGAAAGCTCGTGTTCGGGGGTGGCCTCGAGGACCGCGCGGTGCTTCTCGTGAGCCTGTGTGGTGTTAGTAACTGTTGTGCGGGACCTAAAGACCCTGGAATTCTGCAATTCAAGAGTTCCAGTTTGAAAAAAAAGCCCGGTACGTACGAAAGGCAGACCACAGTATGTGCACCAGCAAATCTGGGGCTTATCTGTGTTGATAAAGATCCGGGGGTGTCCGAGAGGACCGCCTCCTCCGTCACATGATACGACGCGGTCGTGTGTCCAGCGGACGGGTTGCTGGTGGATGAGCTCAATGGCGGCATATGGGCGTGGCTGTATATCTCTTGTTAGCAATTGTTTCATTGTTCTTGTTCTTCACACTGGCAGCCGCCTGTTCCCTGCTTCGGAACAGCACAACGCCTAATCTTTATATCCCCGCTACATCTACCACCAAAGCCAAGACATACCTGATCCGCAATAATTGTCTGCTCAAATCTCGGCCCGCTCATCGCAACCGCCCTCGGGTTCTGACTCCTCGACCATATGCCCTTGTAGTTGGGCGCCTGTGTAGTCCTCAACTCCTCGGCATCCTGCACAGACTCCTGCAGAACTTGGTCAAACGAGCCTTCGGAAGAGGTGGCCATTTCATTGGTTGCCGAGACATTCGGCTTCGCGTCGCGCTTGACGGGGTCGTTGGCGGGGACCTGGTTGCTGGTTGTAGCCGTCGAGACATAGCGGGCAAAGGGGCGGGAGGCGGTCGCTGCGCTGCGGGAGCGCAGAGCGCGAAGGGTGATGGGGAGCATCTTGGGCGAGGTGTTGGTGCAGACGGGCTGCGCAATTGCTGGGCGAAGATGCGGGTTGCGTGGTTGAAGTTGAGCTTCTGAGCATTCGCGCTATACATGACTTACATAAGCAGTGGTACTAACGTTAAGGATCAGTCATCCGGCCAGATCAGTCATCCGGCCACCCCACCCAACTTGACCCAACGCTCTACACTACAACAGTTATGACGCGACAACAACGCTCTCTATCGCCTCAAAGGCAAGGTAGAC